CACACACACACTCACAGACACTACAGTTGTCAATTCACAAACCCTTTTCACAAACATGGCCGATGCACTTCAGCTTCGTCTTGGCAGAGCACAGATCGGTTTTCACCAACGCCAACAATGTTCAGACGCCAAGTTTCTGTCGACTGTGACGCTCTGTGATCACTTACTTTTTGTTTTAATTAATGTAACAACTTGATGTTGTTTCCTCTTCTGTCTGTGATCCCTTTTGTGTTCAAAGCTTTTAAAACAATAGACTTACACAACTCAGTGAGGAAAAGGGCAGAAATGTCAACCAGTGACTGTGACAGATATATTTATACCACATGGGTCTTAGCCTTTTAATTATATATATATTCATTATAATACTTCATAAACAATAAAATATTGAATGAATATCAGTAAAATCTTGTTTTTTAATTTACAATCCCTGTCTGAGGAGTGAACCACGTGACATATGCTGAGTAAGGTTATGTTCCTAGGTTTGATTTTATTTGTCTTATTACAAATGCCAGTGTCATTTTAACAGAACCTGTAAGTTGCCAATTCACTTCTGCTCTCTATAAAATGTTTAAACTAAAATGTCTTACATCTGCTGAGGTCACATGGATTCAGGCAGACGGTAGACGGACGGCAGCCTGGCAGCACAGCAAAATGAAACAGGCCCGACAGTATGTTGCTATGGTGACGTCGTATCATTTACAAAAAAAAAAAAAACGGATTAAAATATATTAAATGAATTATTTAGTGTATATTCTTTATGAAATTTATAAATATTTAGCGTCTCATTGTTCAGATTCCTCATGTTTTCTCCTTGAGCTAGATAAGACTTGCAGAGGACGGCAAACTGTTGCTGGTATTCTGTGTCAGCTTCATCTAATTTTACCATCCAGCTCTCATCCACTGACATGATATCCAGTTTGCCTTCTGCCGTCTGCCTGAGTCCATGTGAATGCAGCATTAGCCAGTTAGAATTTTGATACCCTACATCACACCTTATTCTAGTCTTCCTGTCTAAAGAAAGTGAGATACGTCAACGACAGCACCTGCATTCTGCAATTCGCCATATTAAATAATTTAATATGTGATCACAGAGAGAAAGAGGAAGTAGCTACCAGCCATGTTTGTGAAATGTACTGCCCTACGTGGCCCTCTGTCTCTACTTCTGCCTTCTTTCTTTCTTTCTTTTTGTCCAATTGTTTATCTAACTGTGAAGTTGCTTATGGACCTTTCTCTTTTGGCATGCCTGCTTCTGTCTTTGGGGAAGCAGCGGTTAAATAAAGTTAATGCTTAAGCGATCACCACTGGCAGAGGATTTTGAATCAAAGGCTGTTAGCAGAACGTTTTTGTGAGGGTCCAGGATGACACATCACATCCTCTCGCAGCACCTTTGAATTGATGCCTTCCAGAAAGAGCTTTAGTTTCCAGGAAATGTTCTTTTTCAGCATAAACAGCTCAGCTGCCACATGGATGACAGAATGATATAACCCAGCATGCTGCTCATTACATTACTCACCCTGTTATTGTTTTCTTTTAATAATCACTATAGTGTCTGTAGTTCTTTCTTATGTGATTTACTGCCTGTTTTCTGGTGTTTACACGTTTTGCACTCTTGCTGTGCGCAAAATAACAGCTTAAAGGTACACAAATTTTTTTCGCCCACATTAATGGACGTGTAGTTTTTGAATGAGGAAGTATGCACGGAAGCGAGGATGTCAGGATCTGCGAGGCGAGTGAAGAAAACAATAAATGTTGGGAGGAAACAGCAGGAAGAGGTGGTGCTGTTTTTAACTGCCCATCTGCCTGAAGGATTTCCCAGAGTCTCAAAGCCTCTGGCAGGAAGCAGACAGACATTCAGACGTTCTTTCATCAGTGCTGTTTTTGCATCTTCCCTCCTCGTATTCCCTTTCCATTGGCTCCATCTCATGCATGTACGGTCTTTTTGCTCCACTTTTCCTTTAGCATTTCATATCTTCATCCACTATTCCCTTTACCCTCGGTCCCATGCTGCGTTTTTTGGGTGAGTTAAAAAATGAAATAAAGTTTCTTATTTTGTTGATGTGTTTTTGCGCAAAATGTGCAACTTTTTTATGTGTATTGTGTTGTATGTCTATATGCTGAGGCTGACTCCAAGCGTTCAAAAGCTTGTCACCACAGATCTGGCTAGCTTGCAGTCTTTTTGTCAGACAAGTCTTGTGTTACATAACGCAAGCCCATATCTCCCCTCTCGCTCATAAGAGGAAAGAACAGAGCGGGACAAGCTTCAAAATCATGGCAAGTGTTGGTTTCAATTCTGGCTTTGATACGCACTCCATCCCAGTGCCAGTTTTCAAAGTAATCTCAGTGCTGTTGACGAAAATATGCCACTCAAGCTCATTTAGAGGCAGGAATTCTCACTGAAGCCGATGTCACAATGTCGAAGCACTGTCTGTAACTAACGGCAAAAGAGAGAAATATAGAGAATAAAGAATTAAAGAAATGAGACAATATGGAGAAAGAAATATGAGAAATTATGGAATTAGAGAAACCGATGATGAGCAGAGGGGATACTCTGCCAGTGTTTCTTTTCGAAAAGAGAGAGAGAGAGCAACAAATGGAGACGGAGAGAGGTTTGCATGATATGAGGAGAGTTGACGCACATCCATCGACTGTCAGACAGTGACGGATTTGTGTTAAAATGTTACCTCTGAGTTACATCATTGGTATTACACTCAGTCATGTCTGGACCTGGATCCTGTCTCTGTCTCTGTTTTTCTCATCCTTTTACTCTCTCTTTCTCTTTGCTTCTGTCTCGATAGTTGTTTTTTTTATTTCCTATGTATGCTCTCTACATCTAGACCCACAGCTGATACAGTATGTGGTAATATCACAGTGCAAACACAGAAACACAACACTGTTTTCTATTGTAGTTTATTCTTGAGTTCATGATTAATGTATTTTTTTCTTTTCATTTCTGTGAGTCAGATGAGTTCATTGTATCTGTTCTTGGCTGCCTGTTGGTCAGGGAGTCTTTGTGTGAGAGGGAAGATGAGTCATCTAATGCAGAGGAATCACAATTAGACTTCATGTCAAGAGAGACACCCGTACAGTTACACATAAACAAGCATCCGAACACACAAGCAAGCCCCTCGGTGCTCATATTATACACAGACACATGATGTGGTGTTTGATTTAGTGTCAAAGAAGATGACAGTTTCACTCATTCAGACATGCAAACACAGTTCAGCCATCTAACACACACACACACACACACACACACACACACTGCAAATATAGACTCATATGAATACATAAAAACACAAACACACACTCTCTCTGTATTTTCAGTGGCAGGAAATAGAGACAAGACAGAGCCCTCAGCTCAGGCGATGAAAAAAAGAAAAGACTTCCACTGGTGGTTTCCATGGAAACTGTCTTCCTTTCACTTTAGGGGGAGGGCAAGCGACTAGTGGATGAGTTAGGCCAACATTTAAGGTGGCTCATGGACAGGGTGGGAGGGAATTTAAGGCGGTTTGAAGTGTGAATCCATCTGACTTTTCCGCCTCGAGGACGAGAAGGGTCGTTCGAGGTAATGGCAGTGCAGCGCACGCGGTTTGAGCAAACAGTAAAGCAGAGCAAAGATAATTGCAGCGTGCACCCCTTTCACCTTGGGCTGCACAGTCAGCATGCTCGCCAGCCAGAACACACACCCTCACACACACACACCCTCACCCACGGATTATTGATATCAAGATCACAAATCTGTTCATAATTACATTACAGCGTGAGGGGATGATGCCACAGTATCAGTGTCACGCAGACCAAATAATTGTAAAAATAATAGGGCTGGGGATTTGTGTGTGTGTGTGTGTGCGTCAGTGAGTGACTCTAAATCCCAAAAGACTTGAGACGGTCGCGTAGTGTTTTGGGCTGCGTATTGTTTAAACATTTTTCTGTACTTTTGCTAATTTCCAAGAAGTTTCCCGGTCAATAACTGGAATTTTCTACTAGTTTTAGGTAAAAATGCTTTATAGTAATACTTCCAATCAATCAAATTTTTGTTTAATGTATTTATTCTCTTTATATTTGTTGTTAATAAGGTTTCCTATGATAAATTAATTGTCTTCTTCTTACACCAAGTGAATATCTACTGAGTATAAATGATGCTTTTGTTTCAAGGATGTTCTTATTTTCCATCTAATTAATACTAAATTGCATAGTTTTTTCCCAGAATACTTTAACAACTACATTAAATGATTCCTTCCTACTAAATAAAAAATTTAATTCTTACTTTACTTAGAAGCCAAAGTTCTCAAATATGAAATTTTATTTAAAATGTCTAAAATGTTCCTGATAAATCCCAGATTTAAATCAGGGACTGAAACAATAATGAGAAGATATGTAATTCTTTTTTTTCTTTACTAGTACATTGTATTGTATTTGCCCAGAGGAGTTGGAGGAGAGGGTTGGTAAATGTATGCATAAAGGTCATTCAGAGGAAATGTGTTAAATCAGTCAGACTAACTTAAAAAACAACAACTCCAAAAGTAAATAAGACTATAAATCTGTCCATGCACTCAATTATTTATTGGTGTTGAGGTTGGATGCCAAGCCCTTGAAGCGTTGCCATTGGCGTTGCCCAGACATCATTAGTTATTGACCTGTGCAACTTATATCATACTTAAACTTCCTTAAACTCCCTTCCGCACCTGCCACCACCGCACACCTTTCCATACAAACTCAACACGCAACACAAGCGATGCACCGATACTGTGCTCATGTACTCATAAAACTACTCCAATACCACCTTACGGCAGCGTGAATTTTTCGTAACCTCTCGTTAGTTGAGCAGGTAGGCGGAGGACAAGCAATGTCAGCAGTCTGGAGATATTTGAAGCCACTTTTACGACAACATTAGCAACATTTAATTTGAAAGTGCGGAACATCTGATGAAAATAAATGTACTACAGTTTGTAATGGTATTGTTAAGAACTCTTATTGGTACTTCGTATCGGCAAGTACTTGAATACTAGTATTTGTTCGGTATCGCCTCACCTAGACCTCCTATGACCTCCAATGTTGTCAGTTCTTTGTGTGTGTCTGTGTGTGTGATCTTTTTCGATCTGTACGACACTAGTATTCTGCTTTCGTCAGGTTTGCTTTATTTCCCAGTGGAAAATGCCCACCTACGGACACAGTCATGAATTTCATGAATTAGACTCTTTAATACAAGACATGAGGATGAATTAATATGAGGGAGGAAGATCAACCTTTCAAGAACGCTTGCTGCTGAATGCTAATTACAAGCTCTGTATTAGTATATATCCGAGTGGGAGGCTAACAGCTTGGGCTGATGGACTGTGTGTGTATTTTTATATGTTAGCTGAGTCTTATAATGCGAGGTCAGTCCCCTTCTTGTGTTCCTCATGCCTCAGTTAGAGCTGAATTTTAGAGCCGAAAACCGACGCCGTCTACACCGTCAGAGGGAGCTCATTTTAGTGCACGATATATTGTAATAGAAGAATAGGTCATAGAGTACAGGAATTTTAGCTGCGCCTTGACCCAGTTCTTTTACAGAGGAGAGCTAAATCAGCAAAGAGATGGATGAAATGAGGAGGGAACAGAGAACCAAAGGAGGGAGAGCAGGATACAATTAACACAACAGCGATGGAAGCCATCCAAGGCGGAAATGAGTGGGTGGGTGAAATAAGAAAAGAGACAAACAAGAAGTAGTATGCCGTAGATACTCGGCCTTGGAGGATTTGTGAACACGACAAAAGGAAGAGAATGAAAGAAAGAGAAGGCGGGATAAGACGTGTCAGAAAATTTAAATGTTTTTTTCTTCCCGCCCTGCTTTGTATTGATGTCTGTGTTGTGATTCATGTCTCCATGAAGCCACCGCAGCAGATCGAAGTGTTGTCTGTCTATTAAAGGAGCACTTTGGGAGCGTCTAGCTGTGAGCCCCGAGATTCATGTTGTCTCCCCTCAGTGGTTCAATTTTAGTGTCTACGTTCCTTCTTCTGCTCTCAGCATAAACTGACTTCATTTCCCTCCTCTGTTCTTCTCCTTCCTCTCAGAGCTGCCCTATGGCTGGGAGAAGATAGATGACCCCATCTATGGCAGCTACTATGTAGAGTAAGTCTCCCTGTTGACTTGGTTAACTCAGCTGCTCTGTAGTAAAACAGGAAATGCATGGTTAACAGCGCCTCATTATGAATTATAAATGACTAAATTCTCATTTCTTTTTTATGTCTTACTGCTCATCTGACTGAACAGTTACAGTGAAGTGTTCATCTGTATGGAATATCTGGAGAATGCTGCATAAAATAAAATGTGGTTCTTGTTCAACCCAACTTAGCTGTAAGCGGCAGTTAAAGAACAGTTACTGATGGTGTTTTTTCCCCTTTTCCACCAACAGGGAACCGGCTCCATCCCAGTTTGTGCACCTAGTTTTGAACTGTGTCATACTCTACACGAGCTAATTTGGTGGAAAAACCAAACAAAT